GGCAAAAACCTTCATTTAAAAACCCTGCTCTAAGTCTTCTCTCCCCTCTATTTACCTATCACACAGGCTGGAAATTCAGCATTCCAGTCCTCTGCTCAAAAATAAATTCCTTTAGAGCACCTAATTTACATCCCTCCAACTGCATTTTAACTCAAAGTAAAATTGTACCTTTTTCGTAAAATGTGGTTCCTTTTGTATATTCCATGCCTTTTTCCTCTCTAAAAAAATATTCCTTCCGTTCATATACTCCTAGTGTTGAACATGCAGTATGATTCTGTTTATTCATCTTTAGTCAGAGATCTCATCACAAGATCAAGTAACTGAACAGCAGCCTTTCAGATTCCCATAGGCTTCCGATCAGACACCTTTAAGTAATGTTGAGTAAGCTTTAATTGCAATTTAAATAAAAACTATTGATGGCGATATGTGAGAGAATCTAGGTAGGCTTTTAAAGCTAAGAAATGAACTAGCATGGTCAAAGTTGATAAAACTGTTCTGTAAACTGAAGAGACTATGTATTGAAATATCTATTACCCTGTAATACTATTTTTAAAAGGCATCATTCATAGTATATTTACAATTTACAGTAGCAGCAAATGCTTCAAATGCTTTCCTTGCAGTTCTTAGAAGCCTTGTTCAATCTCCTCTTTACTGGTGGCCTTCAGTGTTAAAAAGTAATCAAGTCTAAAAAAGCATTTTTATTATATCAAAAAGCTAGCATTTATCTAATTGGTCCCTTTGCTATCTGTAAACTTACAGCTCTATAGTTTTTGATGTTACACCAACTTAAAAGGTGAAAAATTTGCAATGACAAAGGGGTCAGAATCCAAGAATTTTATCTTATTTTCAAGATTTATGCAGAAAAGCACCTAAGAAATTCCCCAATGCTGTCTCTTTATGGGATCTATTAAGTAGTATCCAAATAACAACCAAATGCAAAGGGATGTAATTTAGGAAATCAGACAATGTAACAATCTAAGAAGATATCTTCATTCTAATTAACAATGGTGGATTCCTCCCTGTCGTTATGCTACCTGACACTTCCAAATGAGTATTTTACTGCAAATCGCTCTTAACAGATTGGGTGTTTTTTTTTTTCCCCTGTTCTTACATAATTGTCATTCTGAGTTACTTCAACCAAATTCATCCCTTGTGAGATGCTTCATCCGAGGTCTATGCACAATTCTTAGGAGGGAGTAACCTGGCTGAGAGTCCCTCACATACACTGTGCCCCTCTCTTTGGATTTCTGCATATTAAATTTTTATTTTTTTCTTTTTTAACAAAGTGAACACTTTGTTAAAAAGTGTTAACACCTTTTTCTATTCAAAGTTTTTAACAGATTTTTTTTTTAAAGCCTAAAACATGAGTCACCCCTATTTCAATTCAGATTTTTTGGAGCTGTAGAAAGCATAATAGTGCTGAAATGCCTATTTTTTTCCATATTGTATTTGAGTTTTTAAAAGTCCCTTCCTTTTTCCAAAGAAAAGTGTTTACACAGAAATAAATATCAATTCCCAGACTTGCTCTCATGCCAGTTTCATTCACAGTTTATTTGCATGGTCAAATTTGAAATTGTTTAAAGGAAAAACTGCCAACAGCAGCAGGTTTAGCAGAACCTATTTCAGAAGTCAAAGGTCATCCTCTTATGCTGTGAATACTGCTTGGTGTTTAAGAATGGTAAAATCCTAAATGCCAACAGAGAGGCTCAATCATTAAAAGATAAGAAAATGCTCCTCATCTGCAGTAATTAAAAAATCATGGCATTCCCTGAATTAACAAGCCCTAACTGCTCAGGTCAATGAAAAGATTCTCAGTAGCATCTATGAAGTTTAGGTTGAACCTGTATTTTCAGGTATAAATTAACACCATATAATATATTCAGAAAAATGTATCATATTTTGCTTAGCTCTTACTGAGCTCACAATATTTGTACTGAGGTATCACCAGTAAGATCTCAACTCCTTCCTTGTCTTTGTTGAGAGAGGAAAAAAAATGAGCCTGCCAGTATTTTAATCCACATTACATTTGAGCTCAGCAGAGAGAACCGACTCTCTATTGCACAACTGCTCACTTCACAACTTGGGTGCAGGCACAAACTGAAGCTAGTAACACTACAGTTGTTCATGGCATTATTATGTACTTCGCTGAACATTTTTCTTACCTTACTAATTTAGACAAACATACTTCAGAGCCAGTCATGTGGATAGTTTGAAAAAAATAACTGCACTATTAAAATAGAAGAGGTTTAGTAACGTGACATGAAAGACTACTACTGTATTCTCAAACGTGACACTTTAATTTTCAGACCACACACAAGCAAACTGTCTTCTGTAACTCTACATGTGTCCATAGAAGGTAGAAGAGCCAGATTATGTACAACCTTTGTACACAGAGGCCACATTAAATTAACTGTCACTAAAAATTTTAGAGCATCTCTGCTGGCAAAACTGTTTTTCAGATGACAGACATTTGAAAATCAGTCCCAATAATAAGCTATGTTTAGGCAGTAACCAACATTACAGCTGAAGTGTCCAAGTACAGTAAGACTAAGGGGAACACAGGCTACCTGTAAAACTCTTCTGCATCAATGTCTGCAGACTTTTTCAAAAGCAAAGGGAAAAGTTTTTTCACACTTATGTCCTTCTGACAGGTGCACTGTAGTTTCCTGACACTCAAGTTCAAGTATCCAGTTAAATCTCTTTCTTAGCTTTTCACTGTGTGCAAAGGACACTCACAGCCTGAATTGCCAGTAATGATTTTGATATTCTGTTTTATTTTCTAACTACGTGTTCTTTCCCTTTTTTTTCCCTAAATTTTGAGGATATTCACAGTGTAATGTCAAGCACACTGAAATGGCTTTCTCATCAGAAAAAAAAAAAAAAAGTCAAACACTTTCCCAGTTCCAAGAAGAGGGATCACAGATGGCATGTGAATCTACCACTGCGATGGAGCGCTGGGAGTCCTACTCCGACTCACAGCTCCACCGCATCTGTTAAGACCACAACGTTTCATTAACCCACAAGCAGCACAGGATGCATTTTTGGCCAACCTTGTCCTTATCTCTACAGAGAATATTTTTCTCTTGTACTTGGAGACTGTTTCCCACAAACCAAAGCTGTTTCTACTTAAAGGAGAACCGTGATGTGGCAGGTACACGTTGCGCCCAATTCCAAAAGGACAGCTCAAATGTTTTCATGTCTTAAATGTAATTTAGTTATCAAACAGATGATAGGTGCTATGAAATAAAAATAAACATCATTGTTCCTCAGATGGTTTTTGCGCTCCCACATCTTGCATCACACGTAAAGCTGGGCCTTGGTGTAATCATCACTAAATAATCAAGTCCTTTCAGGCACTGCAGTGGGACCTTTTCACAGTTAAGACCAAAAGCTCAAATACAGAAGAGTCTAGTGACACAGAAAAAGTACCCTAGTGTGGTTTCAGGTCTCTGCAATGGAAGTCCAAAATCTAGGCAGATCTGAAAATACCATGTGGTGCCTTTCTGAGTCAGAAGGTACTTTTATGACTTAAAGAACGTAACCTGGGGGATTTACTGTGTTTGGGTTTTCTTAGGGGTGGGGAGGAACCTGTCCCAAAACTCAGTGAAATAGTCTTCCTCGGCAGGCTTTAAATCAGGCTTTAATTGCCCAGCAAAGTGTAAATATAGTAAATAAAAAGGCACAAAAATATGAAAGCTAGAAGTTTGACTATTAAATTGGTAAAAATAATTTTAGATCTCTATTAGAAGTTTACTACACAATAATTATAGGAGGATATGCCTTTCCCAGACTTTCTAATAATAAACATTAATTTCCTTTGTGCAACCTGCTTCCTAGCAATATGTGGGAAAAATGCCAGTTCTCATGGTGACAGAATCATTCACCATAATCAAGTCACTTAAAACCGTTATTTGTAAAATCTGCTGCAAATATCTTAAATAATTAATCTAGCAAACATTAGTTCAGCAACTTGAGACTAATTATTGCAGTTTTCCTTTAAATGTCCTTGCCCTACGTAAGCTGATATTTGTCTCCAAAAAGTCTTCCAGCACAAGAGGCAAAAAGGCATGTAACCCAGTAAAAATTGGCAAGCCAAAAAGTTTATTTTTATGTGATTTTATTTTTGATTGCCATATGATGACGGTTCTATGGTATAATATGCTGCAAGAATAATTCACACAAAATCCTGTCCATGGCACTTGGGCTAATAAAATAACAAAGACTCAGCAGACAAAAAACTTGAAGAATCTTTCTTTTGCTAATAAAATCGTAAGAAGGCCCCTGTAATTTGCTGCCTCCAATCTTAACCCGTATGTGTCAGAAAATTAAACGTATAGAAATTATAGATCCTTATGACATAGGAAAATGGTAACAGCTTTGTCTAAAATGTTGAAAATTTAGGTGTGGATATAGCTTGGGCACCTGCATAAACAAATTCCATATTTATGTCCTAAAATAGGTGACCAGCTGCAATCTGCAAGAATTTACAATAAGGCTAAGTAGGTTTGTCATGCACTGAAACGTAGAGCTGAAAGAGCAGCGCAAGTGCAACAGTGAACAGGGCCTTACTGTAACACAGGCAAGAGGTATGCCATGTTATTTCTAACACAGCTGCCGGGTTATGGTCTTAATATATTAAAGCAAAGCTGGCCACTTATCTTAAGAAGGTATTTATTAGATTATCACCATCTAATGGTATTTGACAGCACTGATAGGAGTTCATATAGGCTTACAAAGGAAAAGATCTGAAAATTCCAGAATTCAAACATAGTCCTTCCTCCAATTTACCATTTCTAGGCTTTGTTGGTGTGCAAAAGCGCACTGAAACCTCACAACAGATTTTAAAATTTGCCCATGTCTTGGTAATATACTGCAGTCTTCAAATTTACACAGAGCTGCAGTTCTCCTGGTTTTTCTCAAGTGTCACTCATTTAATTTAGCATGACAGCTGAGAAACGATGTCAGATGCGTTACAGTTCAGTTTAAAAAACATCCTCTACCTGGTATCTCTGCAGTGATTGTCTTGCTGCTCCCTGAAACCTCTTCATCATCATCTGATGAACTCGTGCTCGAGTCACACGTCAGGTCACTATCACTGGTACTGCTGTCCTGCAGCAGGTTGTACTTCTTACGAGCAGCTGCCTCACGTTTCTGTCTTAACAGCCGAATTCTTTCTTTGTGCTTTTGGCTTCGATGACCTTTCACCTTGGTAACTCGACCATTCTGCTTATCACTAGACTGTCGGTTTTTCTTGGCAGCCATTGTTGAAGTTTCACTTTCGGACCTGGATCGCCTGGATTTCCTCCCAACTGCAACCCCAGACACCGCAGAAGAGTCTCCCTCTACAGCAGCTTCAGCTTGACAGGGCTCATTCTCTTCTGTGGAAGACAATGTATCTGAGTCAGCCAAATGCCCACTGGAAGAAGGGGAAAGCATACAATGATTAGAAGAGTCACTCTCGTAAACTCGACCACCCGTTGGCTTATCGCTCTCTGTAGATGCTAGCTGAGACTCCGAGGAGTCTCGCCTCAGTTCCATCAGTAAGCAAGGCATTGAAGAGAGCACCGCAGAGTCTGCTGCAGTGGGCACGTTGTCTTTCTGAGTTTGTGTCTCCAGTTCTATAGGTCCGTCTTCATCAGGAGCAGTCTCTTGCTTTTCAGAAGTCTTTGGTGGAACTTCCGAATCAACCAGTTCTTCTGTTTTTCCCACTGCCTCCATCTTCATTTCAGAACACCAAGGACCTCCTGGTCTCAAAGCATGGAGCACACTGTCTGGAAGACTGGTTGAACTAGATATGGACCTCAGCAGTACAGCAACCTGCACAAGAACAGAACAGTAAGAACAATTTACCCACATAACTCTCTCAATGCTGCTCTTCACAGTATTACCTAAACAACTTATCGCATTCAATTACAGACAGTATGGTTCAGTATTGTATTGTTATTTTTTTATTTATGTTTTCCTAGTGAACTCATCCTGATACACCAAACTAGTCTTCCTCTTACACACCCATGCAAGACCGTATTGAAATCACATCAAATGCGATTCACCTCATGAGAATAACCAAAACAGATCAGAAAATAATAAAATTTCTAAACTCTTAGTTTATAAAGTTTAAATCACTATATAGTAAACAATATATACTAAACTCCTTTACCCAGAACTGTAAACATAATCCAAAGGAGAATTTTAGCCCTTATGAACAATGCGAGCCTGAAAATTCCCAGACTTGGTAGTCATCTACCTGGGCAGACTAGAATATAGTTCAGTTTCCATATCTATGAGAAATCTACTTTCAGTTAAACAGGACCTCAACCTTATAAAATTACAATGTTTTTATGGTAATTTGCAAACTTACAGTACCAACATGACACAGGAGAAATCCAGTCACTTTGAGCAGAAACCAAGCGGCTGCTGAACATTACACAACAAGACTACAAACACCTTCCTTTTCCAGGGGAGCCGCTCTGCCGGTAGATCTCACAGAACAAAGATGCATTTATAAGAAGTGCCATGAAATGATGCTAAATTGCCAGGGACACAGGGTTTATGACATCTACAGGCAAGGTCTTTAGAAACATTAGCTATGTGTAACCCAGATTTGATCTCAGCAGAGAACCACCGTGCTGGTGAGTCATGTAAAGACTTTTTAGGAGTATCTAATAGACCATTCAAGTGCTCCTCGAGTGTCTCCCATGCAAGTCCTGGTTGTATGAGAACCTACAGGCTGATCTAGTTTCTCTCAAATCTGCCAGGAAAACAGCACCAAATAGTACGGGCTGCAAGCAAGAAACGGTATCCACCCACACCAGTATCCTACATTTTACTTCAAGTTATAATTTAGTAAATGACATGGCTTCACTGCAAACATAAAAAACAAGCTATTTATCTGATTTATAACTTGCACGTTACCAACCAAAAAGCACCTGAAGCACCTTGAGGGAAATGTTTTAGAGATCAATATTGATCATTTTATCTTCATTATTCACACTTTGCTTTCCACCTAAATTTTCACTTGGAATTCAACATAAAAATCTTTCAATTACCCCATTTGCTTACAGATAAATGGTATGGTGAAAATCATTTATGGGTTTAGAAGTATAGCATATGATAAATTTATGGCACTTCAAAAAACATGTAAAGAGAAAAAAACCAACCAGTGTTAAGATTTAATCTACTGTTTTTTAAAAACACATTTCTACAGACAAGGGCAATTAGTACTTGAGCAGCCTGGAAAGCCTGAGAAAACATGGATGCTTCAGAAAGATTTTTCTGTACCCTGACAATCCTCCTTCGGTTTCCTGATCCATCCCAAGCTGCCTGGAATTGTATGTATGTAACTGTTTGCTGCTTCCCCCCCCTCCATCTGCAGCACAGAATAAGGCTACTTCCCTGCTCCTAAAAGGTGCTGTGAAAATCTCAGTGTTGTCCTGTCTGCCCTAACCCACTTTGAAACTTCATTTTTAAAGAATATTAAAATAGAGCTGATGCTTTCTTCAGGCTACTGAATGAAATGCTGGATGGTGCAAGAGAATTATGATAATATTTATGGAAGAGAAACACCAGTTAAAGAAAGCAAACTTAGTATCAGACAAGACAAGAAAGACAGAGATGATAACTCTAGGTCTGCTAAATATGAAAAAAAAAAAAAACACCAAAAAACACAAAACCCAAAAAACTCAGTAAAAGCAGCATTTTTCCTCCCCTCCAAAGAATAAAATACATATTGTAAAATAGAGGAACATATCTATAAAGAAAAATGTTTGCCAATACTTGCACTGAGTAAAATTCTCTCGAAAGCAACTTAAAAGAAGAATTTCTGGAGATGGTAATTTAATGTAGCCAATAAATATCACATAAGAGCCAACTTACTTCCAAGGCCACAGCACAGCATCAAACCCAAATGATGAATACACATGTTCTGAGACATAAACACATCCCAATACTCTAATAAAATCAGTATTTCTACACATTTCATCCACAAATCTACATTATCAAATAATTCTCCTGTTACACAGGTAACTAAAACACAGATTTGATGACTGAATGACTGGCCAAGAGTTACACACGGTGGGATACGTATTGCACCTGCTAGTGCAGCTCCCAGCTTTGCTCTGGCCACGCATTCTAGAAAGAAAAATATCTTTTCTAAGAGTTTTGAAATGTACATGCAAGGAAAAATTCAGATGGTCAAACGCGTATCAGAAAAATATTAGCCTGGCCAAAAGAAATGTATTTAAATATTCATACTAATAACTGCAGAACAGCTTCCACACTATTCATCCTTTTAGCCTGGGGAGCACAAAGAACAGAGCTCAACACAAAGCTAAAGGGCAAAGTGAGCTAGAGACTCTCTTCCCCCCGCCCTCAAACGTCCTACTTGGGAACATCATCTACCACACAGCTCCCAAAGGGACTGTAAGAACACCTGTACTTGCTTTTCCATCTCTCTGGCCTATCAACCAGAAAAAATTACGTTTCACCTACACGTTGCCACCTTGCCAACAGCCTAATAACAATGACTTTAGAAGATTTTTTTGTTATTAAGTAGGATCTTACTTAAACTACTCAAACCACGCTGGTTTGATCCCTCAAACAGGGATCAGTGAATCAGATTTTCAGTGAGAAGGCAGCACAGGGACTAGTAACTCCACAGAAGTATACTTGGTCAGCCTCTGATGAGGTCTGTACTCTCCAGCTCCCCTGAACTGGTTATTTAAAAAGTCAACGATTCTAGTATTAGCACGAATATAAAAAAGAACTTGATATTTATCTCAGCGGAAAAAAAAGTCTGTCATGACTCAAACAGGCTTTGCTGCAGGGAAGAATACAGACGGTTCAGGGGAAAATACCTATGCCAAAGAAAGCCTTGCCTCAAAGAAAGAAAAAATGTACTGATTTAGTTCTACTTGAAAAATGTATAGATCAGAGAGGAAGAGACTACAGTGAAAAACTCCCATTCCTTTCTTGCCACTCACTTTACTAGTAACCATACAAGAAAAGGTAATCTCAAGGTGATGCTACAGAAAGACCAGTTTCTTACTTAAATGAGAACACAGCACTGAAAAATAAGCTGTGATGCTTACAGACACAGATGGATACTTAATTAGACATTGCTCAGAAATGTCATTCTCCTTTTGCTGATGCACCGATACTGCCCTGATGATTTTAAAAGGCAATTCTGTAAAAGCTTCTGTACTACATTCTTCCAATAGAAATGATTTTATTTTCCAGCCACACATAGAACACACCAGTATACAGAAGCCATTAAATATCTAACTATACCTTTACCTGGGAATTGTTTTCAAATAGTGGACTCATTTGTAAAGGCACATCATTTGTACGCTATTAAACCTGCACTTTAGTGAAGAAATCCAGAAGGATTTTGAAGGTCACATTATAGTAGAAACAGCCCAGCCAGTCTGACAGCTCGCTGCCACTAACAAGGATGGGTTTTACCCCCTACTCTTTCACCTCCTAATCGTGACTGTGCAGCCATACTCCCGCCTTCGCACCAGAGCTGGTTCATTCTTTCTTGGGTAGATCCATTTTACTAAGCCAGCAGAAAACAAAACCAGAAAATAAGTGAAATTTTCTGCCAGAGCTGGCAGGAAGATGAGAGAAGGGAGGACAAGCAACAAACCATCCCTTTAGAAAAAACCAAATCTGATTAAAAACTACCTGCTATTTGGTCTCATCACACCTTGAACTCACAGGTTCCAACTAGACATAGGAGAGGGTACTGAGTGTTTTCTTTCACATCACTGTTTGCTCTGAAGAGATTTTTGAAGATAAAAAAATAATTAAAAAGCAAAAAATTAAATTCAAACAGAGGTGTTAGTAGCTTCCTAAAGAACAACTATCTTGTAATGTATGTTATTAAGTAATATATACTACTGCACAAGGAATTAATTCAAAGATGGCATGCATGTCCATTATAAATAACTGGCCATGCATGCATCCTTTGTAATATTTTTGTTTGGTTTGCTCTCAGTAAATGTTCTTCTTTATAACGGTCTATCCTGCAATGTCAGAAGGAAATGAGTTTCACCCAAACAAACGATAAGGCCTGAAATACTTAGTAAGCACCATGATACCCTAGCCTTAATTGTACATTATCATTTTAGGTGTTATTGAACCGATTCACGATAAAGAATGCCTAGCCTACATGAAGCAAACCAGCTCTTTTCCTCAGCAGCTGTGAATATGACAGATCCTTACTTCAACAGTACCAAGTTTTCCATAGCAGCTTGCTGTTAGAAGTCACTTCAGTTTATTACTGACACATTTCCTCTTATTCAGTCTCCAACAGAACACTGCTTTTCCCTGCTTACAACTGCATTACCTTCTTAGGCCAGTTCTAGCAATTGTTTAAATAATAGAAAAAACCAAACCTATCAGAATATTGTCTTTTAATGCCATTTTAGCACTGAAAGAAAACAGTCTGAAGGACCTACCTTCTCACACCACTAGCCATTCATTCATAAGCTGTAATTTGAAAAAAAGAAGAGAAACTGTACCTAACGTTTTTGCAGAAAATAACATCAAGTATGTTCTTTAAGCTTTTGTGACTATGTAAATGAAAAGTTAAACACTGCTGCATAGGAGTTACTTTTTCAGAATACACTGTAGTTAGCTTACAGAGATCATTCAACAGCATCTACTACCTTACAGCTCCAGCATCACAGAAGTCAGTATTTTCGTCTAAGTCTGAATATGGTTTTGTATTTACATAGAACTAAAGAATACAGTGGCTCATGCTTACATAAACAATTATTTCTATCACCAGTGGATTGCATTATCTCACATTTACCCAAT